ACCAAAAAGATAAGCCGTTAGAAAAAAGTACGATTTTGCATTAAATGCAATAATTATAAACAAGTAGTTATTGGCTAACCACAAAAGAAAATGCATCAATGTTTCTCGTGCGCAGAAAACGCAATATTTTTTTTTTTTTTCAAGAAAAATTGATGAAGCACAACCAACCCGCTAATTAAAATTAATAAAATTATATACTTATAGTTTGCTATTTATGAGGTCTATAGCAAAATCTATAACCTTTTCGGATTTAATGTAATTAAAAAATGCATTGTTAAATAATCGGTAAAAATGTGGACTTAGTTTTATAAATAAATATTTTTTCCGTGAATTTTTAAAATATTTGGGTTAATTTCATTTATATATTTGTTCCTTCGTTGTGGGTTACATCCATGCTTATATTTTTGAGTTTCGGTTTAAAACGTCATTTTGGGAATTTTTTTGAACTTTGAACTTTTAACAAGTATAACTTTGGCGGCTTTTGCTAAAAATTATTAACGAGAAAATAGTTGTACTTCTAAGATGTTAGACAATGTTCACATAAAGTATCGTTGATGTGCTATTAAAAAAATTTCATAATTTTTTTGAAGCCTAAAATCAAAAATAAATAAAAAAGTATTTCCGATATGTACTTACGTAAATACAACTGCTAAAAGATTGAATGTAATATAAATAAAAATAAAAACAAATAAGAAAATGAGAATGAAAAATATATATTAGAAACCTGGCCGAACAGGTGGCCTATAACACGTTTCGTTATTTTTATTTGTTTGTCAAATTTTTATCGCAAATGTGCGTGCTGTGCTGTCAAAATGGTTTTTAATTTTATCCTTTTTTTGTAGTTTGTATCTGAACGGGCATTAATGATTCAAAATAAGAATGAATGAAGTTAAACAACAATAATAAGAAACGTTAGTAGTAGTATTTGCTAGAGACTGAGAATACACTCCAAAGGGATGTGGATGTCAACTTTGTGCTTTTAGCACTGTCACCTTAGTGCTTTTTACGAGCTTTTTGACGCCAACAAATTGCCTAGTACTTTTTTAGTGTTGTTTCGAAATTTCACTCAATTTAGTATCGAAATAATATTTTAAGGTAATTTTGATTTAATTTTATATCATCTATAAAATGTTAAATATGTATATTGTCTGTTCCATGATTTTGAATTATTCGTTTTTTTTGTTTTTGGGATGAAAACGTTTTTCAGTTTCTATTTGTATCATTTGAGTAAAGTAATGCAAGTTATGAAGATTTCTTTGGTAATTTAACATAATTATGAGATCCGGGAGCCACACATGTTCGGGAGCCACAATTTTATAGGGGCTAGGGGAAATAACAGACCGATTTCTATCATTTGCAATAGGATTCATCAAATTATCTTAAGCATTACGATCTTTAACATGAATACAAAATTTAGTAACATCTGCACAAGCCCACTATAGGTGTTTAGGCTTAAAAACAAGCTTTTTAATATATAATTCTTAATTACCATAACCTCAAGAAATATTGCATTATTTTCAGGACTTCAGAACTACTTCCGTGAAATCATATTCGCCATATAACTCCTGTTCTTTTATTTTTATCTATAAACATGTATATAGGTCGGCCATGTCCGACTGCACCTTCCTACTCCTTTTTATATGTTGAAGTGTATGTATGCATATATTTCCAAAATATATATTTTATAACCTAAAAAAATTCAAAATTTTTACTAGAAATTTCGATCGCTTGCGAATCCCAGAATGATGTATTTGTGACATCATTAGTTCTAAGGTTTGCTTTTCAATTTATCTGTTTAAGACGGTTCTATATCTACTTAATTTAGAAAAAAATTTTATATAAAATAAAATTATATTGTTTGTATCATACCATTAAACTGTTAGTTTTGTACAGTAAATTTTTTCTATATTCAAATATTATTGAACAATATAATTTATGGGCCTTCAAAATACTTTTTTAAATTTTATTTTTTGGTTTAATATATTTGCTAGTTTCTTATAGTTGACACTTTTAATTCGAACTGTATCTGTTTCCACTGGTTCAAGATCTACTGAATTTAAAACAAATTATAACATGTTCTAGTATACAAAACTTTTCTTTAAAAATAGGAAAATATTTCTCTTAGTACTTTTGTAAGAGAAATACTCGTTTTTTCTTTAATTTGGTGCTTTTTGAAATTTTAAAGATGACAACACCGCATTTAAAGACCTTGCCTTGTTGTGGTGTTGTTTTCATTTTCTCTATATTTTATTCTTCTTTTTCCAAAAATACAAGGGAAACCTTCAGTAAGTATTTATAACTTTCACCATCGTGAGAAGGGTATATATAAGTTTGTCATTCCGTTTGTAATTTCTATAATATAATTTTTCGACCCTATAAAGTATATATGTATATTCTAGATACTTATAGATAGCGGAGTCGATTTAGCCATGTCTATCTGTCTGTCCGTCTATGTGTCTGTTGAAATCAGTTTTTAGAAGACCCCAGATATCTACGTGATCCGAATTTTCAATAAGTTTCGAGAAGTTTCCTATTCAAAATCAGCAAAATCCTTCCACAAATAACGGAGATATAAGCAAAAATCTGAGACAAACTCTGAAAATTTCATCAAAAAAAGAGAATGTTTGTGCAAGCTTTGAATAAAAAAACAACAACAACCAACTAAGCTTATCTTAAAGACGAAAACTTGTGTAGTTGTATGTTGGTTTTATTACTTTGCGTCTTTTGTTGGCTTTTGAGTTTTGTTCGTTTCGTGTTAGTTGTTGTATGTTTTGTTATTGATAAAATGGCGGTAGAGTTGGAAAATATAAAATTGAAATGTTATAAAATTATACAATTTTTATCACACCATAGTGAAGGGTATATAAGATTTCTCAAAGGCGAATATTGAACTCTTACTTAACGAATTAATTTGTTTCATTTTGAAAAAAAAAAATAAAATAAAAATAAAAGGCGTATGAGCCTTGTCATTAAATTGAAAATCAATAGTAATCATACGTACATACGTATACATATTTATACATAGGTAACTGATGTACGTATGTATGAGTGTCCCGAGGAACGGTCTTTGAGAAAAATATAATTTGTGAGAAATAAAATATCTCCAATCTTTTTTGAAATATGTCTCAAAAATTCCATAATTTTGAGCTGAATGCTGGAAAAATAATTTTAAAATTTGTATAGAGTTTTTTCTTTAAACCCATTTTGAGTATATTACAGGCAATTCTTTTTATACATATTGTACTGAGATCAAGATTTTTAATCGCTTATAGGGAATTGAAGCCATTTTCAAAAAGAATATTTTTTATTGTTCTCATATTTAGCACATGAATATGCATCGTTTAAAAAGTGGACCACGGGACATTCTAATGTACATATGTTCATATAACTGAACATATTTGTGCAATCAGGGATATTATAAAAACTAAACTGTTTGAAAAATACAGTAGGCGTAATTCTAGTACTCTCTAACATTTCTAGACTATATTTTATCTCTTTTTTAATAAAAATATTTAGTGGTTATTTACAGGGTGTCCGCCGGGAAGGTATACTAAGTACTTTGTTTTGCGGCATTTTGGTTAACATTAGTCTTGACAGTTCATATTTGGCAGTCATTCAATTCATTGTCGAAAAATATTCGATAAACCAACGTGTTTTAATCGTTAAAACATTCTATCATTCCAAGCATAGACCACAACGTACTACAAGATCGGCTGAAAGCATTAATACTGCTCAAGAAAGTGCTCAAACCGATCCATCAACCTCAATTCAACGCCGCGACGGAACGATATGGTGATATGATTGAAAACTTGTTAACGCCACAACTGCATGCTTTGGGTTTAATTAACATCGCATGCAACCAGAATTACATTGAAATTACTGCGAAATCTCTTTCCCCAACAAGGTATTTCAAGAAATGGTGATCTTGATTGGCCTCTATGGTCGCCTGATTTGACTGCTCCAGACTTCTTTTTGTGGGGATATCTGAATAGCAAGGCTTATGCGAACAAACCAGAAACGCTTGAGCAACTCAAACAAAATATTCGTGATGAAATTAATGAAATACCGAAAAATGATATTTGTCGAAATTAAATAAAACATTTATCAATAGAAAATCCATTCTCATTAATTTAATCAAAAATTATAAACAAACAAAGTAGTATACCTTCCCGGTATTAAAGCTATTTACAATATAAAAGCTATTTAAATTTAACAATTTTGCTCTTATTTTTTATATATAGCCAGATGTTTTTAAATATAAGAAAATCGTTCGAATCGCCAAATGAGTTTTGGTTCGAATCGCCAACAAATTCTAACCAAAACTCATGTCCAACCGGAATCTATGAACGATAATACGGGCAGTAGGCTGGATGATATGGATGAGACAATGAAACTCCTAATGGACTCTCATTTACCACCTGGTATATCGGACCATAGATGAACCGATATTGGAGGAAGGGGAGGCTAAGTACTACGTCAACCATGGTTCTTGAAACGTTACTACATACATATTCCACCCATTGAAACATATATATGATATGAGGTGGCACTTACAGCCAAGTAGTCAGCAACGAAAGAGCCAAGGGAGCAATATTTTTCCAACAAATCACGGTAAAAACAATTTAAAACAAAAAAGTTTTTGGCATAATTAATTTCGAACATTTCGGACAAAATTCAATTGCCAACATGCACTAAATCATTGTCAGATACATTTTAAAGGGTTTCTCATATTAACGAATTTTATCAAATTAAAAAATCACTATAAATGGAAACAAAAACCCATTAACGTTACCCCTAATGCATAATATCTGACAAATTGTCTACAAAAATAGAAAAAATATTGCATATGGCATTTCCAAAAGTGTTGTTGTTGGGTATTTTTATGTCATAAAAATTTAAACATATATTTTGAAACAAATCCTCAGAATCATGGAGGAGATTCTGTTTTAAGTTTTGTATATTTTTCATAGTTTATAAAATGTTTCTTTGAAAAAACTTACCGATTTTATTACTGGAAGTTGACGTTAAGTACTCATTAGTTGTTGGCAGTTGTATAAATTGTTGTTGTTTGTGTGTAGTCATGTTGGTGCTGTTGCTGGTATTACGTCTATTGCTGCTGCTAGCTTTATTATTGCTATAGTTAATGTTGCAATTTGGTGCAATATTGGTGCTGCGACGCTGTTTATCTTTGGCATTCATTTCCACTAAAGATTGAGCAGCTGACCATTCCAAACGTTCGCAGAGTTCTATATTGTCCTCATTGTCACTGGACAATGTTACAGCTAGAGCTGGTTGTGTTGCTAAAGTTATATTTGAAAGTGCTAAAGGCGATTGAGGTGCTGAGATTGATGTCGATTGCAAAGCTGATGCTGGTGATAATGATGGTGGCACTGTTACTGGTAAATCATGTTCCATAGATTGATATGCGGCATTTTTATTAATGTTGTCATTAACCACAATATCAGTAGAGAAAATTGTGCCAGTGTTGGTATTGAAGCCGCTAACGTGGCTTTTGGTACTGTTGATTGTAGAAGTAAGGGGACTTATGTGTCTGACATTGTTTAAATCCGTTGATTTTTTAACAATATAGATTGTAGCGGTTTGCTGAGTTTTTTGTTGCTGTTGATGTTCCTCTTGGTATTCCTTATGTTGACCCACCACCATTTGCTGTTGACGTAATTGCAATTGTTTTGCATTTTTTATGGTGCGACGCTGTGTTTGGTTGACAATAATTCCCGTCGTTCCACTTTGCGTCTGCAGTTGCTGTTGGTTAGAAAATGTGGCTACTGCTGTTACAGGTGTTGTTACAGCTGTAGTAGAGTATGTAGTGGTAGTATTTTTTGCCAACACTATTTTACTTGCAGCCACCATACACTCCACAGACATTTTTGTGGCATTAACGGGTTCCTTTTTTTCTTTATTTGTCCCAGCTCCTTCTTGTATCCTGTTTGGCGTTTGCCTTTTTTATAGTGATGGATGTATTTGTTGCTTTTTTGAGTCTGGTTATTACTCCATATTTTCTTTTTTAAAGTTTTGAGTTCATTTTTGTTGATGCTATAGTCAATAGTGTGAATATATATATGTAAATATGTACTTGGCGTTGACACACATACATTTAGCTATTATTTTCTCAAGTTAATCCTTTCGGAGAATGTTGTCATTATATTCTTCTTTTGTTAAACTTATTTCGGCATTGGTTTTAGTAACAGTTTAAAGATTTATATTTTATTAATTTTATTTAGAGTTTTTTTTATAAGAGAGTTTTTTTATTTTTAGTTGTGTATTTCACAGGTTAGGTATTGCTTTCGATGTGTTGGTTGACTAAAATTTTATTTTATATATCTTTAAATTCCATTTTAAAAGAATTTTAATTTGCTTAATTTTTTGAATAACGTTATAGTATAATTAATACATTTAATAGTTTATAATAGACTTTGAGAAACTACAAACAGTTTTACTTGAACTTAGATCATTTTGAATATTCATCCGTCAACATTTTTGCTGAAATAAAAGTAGAATTAAAAAAAGTAATAATTGTTATATATGTATGTATTTAACTAAATATATTATTTTTCTAAAGACATTTTAAGTAGTATTTTTTTAAAATGTTGCAAACTAAACTTCAGAATCAAATATAATAATATAATAATTTTCTTGTTCTTTGCATTTATTAGTGGCGTTCCTACTATATATAAGCTTTCAATGTTTGTGTTAACTTGATGACTACTTATTAAAAATTCTGTCAACAATATTTAGTCAGACACACATTTTCAGCTCTATCGGTCAAGAACTGCCGGACTTAGAGGGGGTCAATGTTATACATTTTGGTCATACAGGGTTTTATTCTAATGAGTGTAACTTTTTATCTATTGGTCCTAGCAAAAATTGGCCAAATAGCTATCTGAACTAGATAGCCATTTCTTCATTCTTTCGAATTTTTTTTTAAATTTTTTAAACATTTTTTTAATATTTTTTTTTTTAAATGGGCCCTTTTTTTTTGCTTTATAGTCCCACAATGGGATGCGAGTGGGATATCTATCAAAAAATTATTTTTTAACTCAAGAATAATTTTTTTTTTTTCAATATTTGGCACTTAATTGTCCTCTATTTTTTAAAGCCTTGTGATTACTTAGTGGAATGCGAGTAGGATATATTTATAACAAATATTTTAAGTCCAAAAGCAAAATTTTTGAGTTAGTTATATTATTATGTTTTTCACATATCGTCACCTGAAACGCAAACGGCCCTAACTAACCAAAAATTCAAAATCGGTTTTATTGTTGATTATAATGTATTGCATCAAAACAAATGTCCACACAAAAAATTGGACTCCTCCTCCCAAAATTATCGATTTTATTGGCAAAAAACAAAAACATTTAAATATTAAAGGTAAAAAGTCCAATTTATTCATTTTATATACGCCATTGTCAACTATCATAACAACTCACTATTAAACAATTTGTTTATTCACTACAAATAAGTCGCGTTGATAGAAACAAATAGTTTTTTGCTTCTCCTGTAAAATTTTAAAAATGTTAGATAGGGCCGTTTGCGTTTTAGGTGACGATATGCCTTGCATCCGACTAAGTGGCCACAAAGCTCTTAAAGGAAACAGTCAAAGCTTTCTTTTGAGTAAAAAAAAACAAAGTTACAAAATAATTTTCTTGATAGATATCCCACTCGCATACCATTATGGGACTATAAAGCCCTTTAAGGAAATTGTATAAGCTTTCTTTTAAGCAAGAAAAAAGGGCCAATTATGAAAAGAGCCAATTAAAAAAATATTTATATATTTATGTATTTACAAAACAGCAGAACAATTTATAAAGGCGCTATGATTTTACCAATATAGAAAATTTAATTTTTGAGCTTAAATTCCTATTCGATTTAATTGTACAAACAAGATGTACGATAACTCATTTCAACTTTTGCACTTTTTTAAAACTCATTCATGATTTAAAAATATTTTAAATAAAGATTTTATACAAAGTAAAAACTTCGCCAAACACCAAACCAAACTCCGTTGCGAAAACCGAACGTTCAATCGGACAATCTTATGTATTACCTCTATCGCCAAAAATGGTGGTGGATGGTATAAAAAACACTGAAAAGGGCAACTTAACGGCATAAATGGCGATTGAAATAATTTTTAAAGAACATGTATATTTTATTGTTTTATTTGGCTCTTGGTTTTTTACCCATAGAAATTTTAATTGAATTTTTAACGAAGTCTTCACAACATTAACAGTAATAATGAATGAATTTACACAACACGGTAAATGGTAACTGAAAGCAAAATGGCATCAGGATCAGAGGAAGTGAAATGGTAACTGCGATAAACAACAGTAAATTGCTTTAAAACTTATTATTGTTTTTTGTAGCAACAGAAACAATAAAGGAAATTATTTTTTAGGTTTTTTTAGCATCTGTGACCACCTGTCAGAATATTTTGATTACAACATAAACACAATATTTTACTTCTTCGTTTATTATTTTTTTGTTGGTGCATTATTTGTTGTTCATAGTTTAGATTTGTTACATTTATGAAAAAAATTACTTTAATTAGAATCTAATGAATTAAAATAATTTACGCAAATATTGGCTTTGTCAAAAGCCTTTTCTAAATATAAATTTCAAAAATTTTACTACAAAATTTAAATAGAAGATAACTTTGACTGGGAAAAACTAATTTTACTTTTTTAAGTTTACACATTTTAATTTTAAAAGATTTTTCCTCAAGCCAAGTATTTTATGAAATTTTATAAAAAAATTTAATTAAAAAAAAAAACAGGTAAAAATATCGAAAGCATGTCTGACAGAATTTGGATCCCATATTTGGGGTCTTCAGAAAACACAGAAGGACATGGCTTAATCGACTACGCTATCTATAAGGACCCATGACATACAAATTTACGTTATAGGGTCGGAAAATGTTAAATATCAGTTTAAAAGAAATATATTTTTAGTGCTAGTGATACCTAATTCGGTACCAAATTTTACTAAAAACTCAATTTTCAAAATCCTATTAATCGCCATTTTTGGCTTACCTCATCGTGTGATAGTTTACTGACCATTATGAATACGGAGGTTAATATTATTTATTTAAAATCGATCTTTAGCTTGCAAAAAGTTAAATATTATATCAGCAATGCAGATGTAAGAAAATTTTTACATTATCACATTTGTTCACAAAACTAATGATTTTCACAGAGAAGCCCATTTTACAAGCTTTTTTAAAAATTGTTCAATAGATTTCACAGTTTTAAGAATGGAGTGGGAAGGAAGCTCATAATGCTTTAGAAAAAAATTACTTTATAACGATCGTGTTATACTAAGCTCCATTTCGACCTATAAATTGTTTTAAATTGCTTTTCTCTGTCGTATACTTGTCCAAAAAGCTAAAAAGACTTTTTCCATTATATGAATTTTCGGGTAACATGGATGTCAATTTAAATGTTCTGCATCTTGCTCAGTATGGATCGAATAAGTTTTAATTTAGAAATTAAAATTTTGGATTTGAATTGCCTTCTTTTCCTTTCTTTAGAATTTTGAAATCCCCTAATATCTGGTTCAAGTAAATTTTCGTTAGAAAAAATTGATTTTTTACCGATTCCATTGCACTTATTGTTTTTTGGTATTTCGATTTAATTTTAATTTTTTTATGTTTAGAATTTTAAAATCCCCAATATCTGATATAAAAGATATATTCGTTCAAGTGATTCGCCGCCCTGACTGTAATAATCAAAATATCTTTAGAAAAAACAATACTTATAGAATTTTTTACCGATTTTCTCTTCTTGTTTTTTCGTGTTTCTATTTGATATGTTTTCATATTTTATTTTTCTTCTTAATCTTGTTTCCTTTTAATGTGTTCTTCTCTTCTTTGTTGTTGGTTTGAGTATGGCAACACTGGTTGCTTTTGTTTATTATTGTGCATTGAAGTAGAGCAAACAAGTGTGTTATTAAAATACGAAAATAAAATCTGAAAAAAACAACAACGACAAGAGAACCGTTGCGACACGTCCCGTTTGTTCTCTTATTCATTTATTACATGTTTATAGTACAAATGTGAGAGTATGTGTTTGTTAGACAATGCAGTCATAGCAATTGAGAATGAAAGCAGGAGCAAGAGAGTAAAATTTTTACGGTTATTGATGCTTTATTTCCTGTACTTGTTTTGTTGATTATTTTAAATAAATTGCATTATTTCGGGAAATTTAATAAAATTGTATATTTCTATTCAACTTTAATAAATCCTTTTTATTCTGTCACTATAAAATTGTATTCCTAAAAGTTTAATCATAAAAACTAAAAAAGTCTCGTGAAGAACGAGGCTACACGAAGTTTAACATACGAATGCTGATTTCATGTCAGAAATTCGTGCAGAGATTTTGCTTCTTATTTCTAGTGTATTTGTTTTTGTCTGTAAATCTTAATATGTGTTTGTTTTATTTTAACCGCCTTTCACCGAACTTCCCCGCTAAAATGATAACAAAAGCAATAACATTTTGGTTCAAAATATACCACCACAACAATAACAAAGATAACAAGTACATTTTAAACCCTATAACAAGAACATCAAACACAACACTACTTCTACTACTACTAAATCAGTACTACTACTGTTAAAAGGAAAAGCTAAAAAGGATATTAAGTAATCACTCTGTATGAAAAAAAAATGGCTTTTCGTTTCGTTTTTTCCTTTTATTATTATATTTCTCAACATTTTCTTTAATGAATTTTAAGGATTAAATAGATTTGCTTTTTCCTAGTTTTTTTTTTTTTAGTTTCTGTTCCTATTTTTATATTGTTTATGTATAAAATTTCTCACTCACTTTCTTTAGTTTTGAGGTTATGACCAGCTTAACTTTTTCTTTATTTTTTTCATTATATTTTTAGGTTCTATTTTATTGTAGTACTTATTTTAAAATGTTCTTTGTCATCAACACCACTATCACTTTAAAAGCACACAAAAGAAAAACTGTTTCATTATATTTTCTTTAGAACTTTTTAAATGGATTTTTTATAGTTTGGATAGCAACAGTAAAAACAAAAATAGTAAAAACAGGCATAAAAACCATTGATTTGTTGAATATAATTGATTTTTCCTTCGGTTTTATGGTTAATAAAATTGTATTAGTTTTTTGTCCTTTTTACGAAGAAGTTTTAAAATAGTCTGCCGAGAACTTGATTGTTGGTTTAGTTGAAAATCATGAAAAGATTTATTAGTTATTTGTTTTATAGTTATTATTGTTATTAACTAATGATGAACTTAGAAATGGAAAAACAGAATTAGTAGTAAAATTTTAAAAATGTTTTTTGCACAGTTTCTGCGGATGTGCGTCAGTTTTTGACGTACCACTCCCTTCTACTGATAAATAACAAAGTGGTTTTCAACTGTTGGTCGTCGAACGTTGTTGTCGTCGACGTCGTCAAAACAATAACGCTCCAACCTCCTCTAATCGTGTCTGTGAACGCGCCTGTATCTTTATGTGAAATTTTCTATTATTATTGTTTTCTTTTTGCATTATAGGTTTACGCAATTTTCATACCAAATGCGAGTATTTTTAACACTTGTATCACTAGAGAAATATCACAAGAAAGCAAATTAGGAGAGAACTGTTAGCATAGAAGAGAGTATTATTTTACTAATAAGAGAGTAAGAGAGAAAGACTTTTCGTGTAGTTGCAAGCTCAACATGTTTAAAATCAAAGTACATATTTGTTTTTTCTCATGTCGCTTTCAATTCAAGAGGGTGTTTTTATCTCATAGGGGGTGATAGAAATAGTTCTTTTTTGTAAATTTTTGCAATGGGAAAATATTTAAATTTCGTTTTATTTACCATTTAAAATAATTGTAATTTTTGAAAGTGAATATTTGTATTGTATTGGAAAAGTATTGAATAGAGTACAAGTGTTTTGTCACAAATATGTATATGAACGTATCATTAATGTTTTCTATTGGATAGAAAGTCTTCTTGTAGTCCGAAAGATTAAAATTAGAAAACATTTAACAACTTTCCTTTTGCAAGCCCACTGTATCAGAGTGCATTTTTTATTTAAACCACTAGGAAAGAAAAAAAAACAAATACACGTTCACATATATAAAGGCACTTTTAAACGTCTTTAACATACCCTTTACACACACTGAATTTTTTATATTGATATTTAATTATATTATAAAAGAAAAATAATAATAATCTTACCTTAATTAATCTGTGTGCTTTATCCAACTCCGTAAAATATGCACTGTTTTACTCAATAAGTTTTGTCGCCTTCAGTACATTTGTGTGCGTTTAAACTCTAAAGATTCTGCAAAATGCAACCCTTCTAAACAGACCAAACAACAAAAAAATCCACAACAATATTTTTCGCATACAACAAGTAGCCGCGCAACATATTTGAATTGTATAAAACAAGAACAAATAACCAAAGAGAAGGAGAATAAAAAACTACATATGTATTTATAGAAAACACACTCTCAATCGTAGAAAAAAACGCTACAAGTGTATTTAACAATGTATGTATGAATATTTAATAATGTATGTATGTATGTTTGTTTGTTTGTTTGGGCTTAATAGACTGCTTAATGACTGGACTATAGGCAACTTTTTGTGGGCTAAGTGCACGCCCACTAACACTGATTGGAAACTTCTTAGGAATTTCGTCCAGGAAACTGATTTTCTGAATATTGAAAAATAATACATTCAGGGAATATTTTTTTCATGAAAAGGAGCGCACAACAAGTCCGATAGCGGCCTAGGTGTATTTCTTCGGATTTGATGTAGTATACATCCTCCTATCAACCTAACCTACTGGGGGGATGGAAACCTTCCATATAAATTATATACAAAAAATTGTAAATATGGTAAATTATTAGAGCTATAATCCTTAAATTTTGCACGAACAACTTTGACATTCATGTGAACCTTTGGGATAAAACATTTGGTAAAACAATATCGGGCGTGTACCTCCCATATAAATTAAAAATAAAATTCGTATATCTTGGAAGCTATTAGGGTGGAATCTTCAATAGTAAAGTGGATTTTTATACCCACCATCACAAAAGATGGGGGCATATTGATTTTGTAATTCCGTATGTAACACATCGAAATATTGCTCATAGACTTCATAAAGTATATATGTTCTGGGTCCTCGTAAAATTCTAGTTATGTCCGTCCGTCTGTCTGTTGTTGGCACGATAGCGTCCGCAAAAAAAGAGATACCGTCATGAAATTTTCCTAAAATTTTCTTTATTAGAAAATGTTGGTACTGAAAATGAGCAAAATCAGTCCACGATTTCATATAGTCCCCATACAAATGTCCCCCCCGGAATATTGTGCAAAAAGGTTCGTTGATTATGTAGCAATCGCGACAAAATTTACCATAAGTCAGTTTTTGACTCCAAAACTTAAGTTCTTAATAATGGCGGACATAGACACACAATTGACCCTACCCCCATATAAGGACACCCTCAAAAAATGATTATAAAGTTCATTTGTGGCTTAAAATGAGCCAATTTTACGATGATCTGGCCAAAATTGACCCTCCCCAGAAAATGGCTTTAACGCTTATTAAGGCTTAAAAAAAGCGATGAAATTCAACATAAGCAAGTTTTGTATTATCAAATATCTATTAACCAATTGGGCCATAATTGACCCAACCCCCATTTAAGGTCTCCATCAGAAAATTACTTTAACGCTCATTAATAACATAAAAATACGAATATAGCGATGAAAATCAACATAAACTGACCCTCATTAAAGGCCCTCTTCCAACCATTACCCTGATGTTCCTAATAATATCGATATGTGATATTATCCTAATTCCTAAAAATCAAAGATAACACAGTGAGACAAAATAAACGAAAATTGAAATACCTGGGATGGGACACCATTTTTATGAAAGGTGGATCCGAGTAAAACAAGAATCTGATTTTGAGAGATACGGGTAAAAACCAGGTTTTTCGCATATTTATTCACTTATAAGTCATTAATTTAGTTGATAATCGATATTAAATTTCTTAACTGATTTAGAAAGAAGAAGCTAAGGCCTTTAAAGTGACATCTATGATGTTTAAGATACCTGGAGAAATATGTTCGCATTTCATCGACGAACATGTTTTTGATTTTAATTTTGAACCGTTTTTCAAGTTTGGAGATGGTTTTACAAAGTATTTCATATATGAACCGTACTATTTATTAATTAATTACAAAACCAGGTCTATTAATGAGTAAAACGCAAAAAATCCTTTAGCACTTGACGGTCTTTCTTTAATACAAAATTGTTCAAAAACTGATTTTCTGAAAGATGCTTTATATGGGGGATAGTGTTAAATATTATTCGATTCTCATAAAATTTGGTGGAAGCATTTAGGTTTATATAAAAGTTAATTATGCTGAATTTCATCGTGATATTAATATAATTAAGAGAATCAAGGATTTAAAGTCATTTGCTGAGGGAGGGTCAAACAAGGTCCGATCAATACTAAAATCGGTAAAAATGAGTTTGCTGTAATAATTAGTGATACTGCTGATTATTTAAACCATACCTGGCTTGGGTGGTAATGACTCCTTTTTCAATTATAATTACATTTGAAGTAATTGTAATTGAAGCATTAGCAATTACAATTATTTGTAATTGCAATTGAAGTTTGCCAATTATGTTCTCTTACACATTACAAATAATTGTAATTGACCTTGTAATTAATTACTTTGTGTAATCATTACCCCCCATGCCTGAGCAATACGGACTTATTTGACCTTTTTAGTCCCCATACAAGCCTCCTTCAGAAAATGACTTGAATTCCATAATTCTCCTTTTAATACTAATATCACGATGAATTTCAGCATAAATAACTTTTATAACAAGATAAATACTTCCATAAAATTTTACGAGGATCGGCCCATATTTATCCCTATCCCCATATATAGCATCCTTCAGAAAATTGTTTTTTGAACAATCAAAACTAAATATAAAAAATATGTTTGCCGATGAAATGTACACAAATTTCTCCAGGCTAAATAAACATCATATATGTTTATGTCATTCTAAAGGCCTCAGCTTCTGCTTTCTAAATCCGTTGGGAAACTTAAAATCGGTTTAGATTTAGCAAAATTAAAGACTTATAAGTGCTTAAAGGTACAAAAAACCGTTTTTTACCCTTATCTCAGGATTTTGGAGTTGATTGGAAAATTTCAAAAACAGATCCTTGTTCTACTCGGATCCACCTTTCAGAAAAATAGTATCACTTCCCAGGTGTTTTTTTTGTCGCATAGTGCTATTTATAAATATTACTTATACGGCAATGATTTGATGGTGGGAATATAAGAATCGGCATAGCCGAATATAAGAACCTTTACTTGTTTACATTGTTTTTAAGGTAGCAAAGCAGACTGGGTATAGCTATTAGCACTATAAAAATGAGGTAACGAATTGCTTAATAGAGTTGCCACACATTTTCAATTTAAATATAACATTAATTTCTTTGTAAACGGCCAAATAGACTATACAAGCGGCTTCGCAAACACACTTTTTTAATTTGCACACACGCTACACAAACATTGCTTGTACAAACAGCGATTTTTTACTTTTTTTTAGACTCTTGATAACCCAGATGTCAATTCTGCTTTGAAATATAAATTTTGTTGAAAATTTGGTACTAATAATACAAAACGGTTTTACAAAAATTCAATATGTTTCTATAAAAATATTTTTTTTTGGATTTTTTGTACAAACAAACCACACGCGGTTGTACAAATACAAAATATCCTCATACACTACACAAACAAGTGAGTAGTCTATTTGGACTTTAATTTAAGAAATCTCTAAAGTTAAGAAATTTTTTAGATACAATTTATTCCAGCCATGTTAAAAATAATAACTCTTAACTCTAATAAATGAAAATTTTTTCTAGCCACAGAATTCAGAAACTAATATTCTGCTAAAATAAAGTTTAACGTTTTTTTTTTTATCAATTTGAACTGTTCTAAAATGTGTTGGTTTAATTTTCCTAACAATAAACAGCTGCTACGAACAAAATCAACTGTTGTGAATAAAATGTTCATGACAATTTCGCAATAGCAATTTCCCTTCTATTGGAATGAAAGTTTCAGAAAAAAAATTCACTTCTATAGACGAAAGGGGTGAATATTTCCTTTATTTAATTTTTTTCACGACTTTTTGTTGGAAGGACTTAATTGTTTTAACTGGGAAATCGGACAAGTTGTTTATATTCTGCTCACTATCATTTGTTAAGTCATTATTACGGTTCTAACACACTTTCGTTTACTATCAAAATAGCGTTACCGAATAAGTAAGTCTGAATAAACGGTTGCCAACCATGTCAAGTTATCCTCTTTTTATTCAGCTCCATGGAAGCTCTACATTACATTTTAATTCTCTAGAAATATCTCGCT